GAGACTTGACATTGTTTGAAGATTTTCGAAGCGTTTCGACATGCCTGTTGTGCAATTTGGCATGTCTAAGTCATATAGACGGTGGAAGAAAGAGGGCGGCGGAAAAATAGTCAAAGAAATGCTTCTAAAACAAGTACATGAAATGAAAATTTGATATTGAAAATATATATTCTCCTACATTCCTACCTCCACCTACTCAATTATCCATCTCTTTCGTGCCTATCGCATTCCCTTTTATCTCTAACAAAAAATATAAACACTAAGAGCTAAAAACGCAATGGTTAACAAACGAATCCTTAACTATATCTCATAATCACGAGTGCCGAGTAATATCCATATCATTAAACGAAACTATTAACTTAAAACGTTAGAAAAACACAAGGTCGGATGTTTAGACTTGTTAGTCTTTTTTTTAAGGTAGAAATTTCATTAAACAATAGAACCAAACGTGGCCAGAAGGCCTCAGTCGAAGACCCCAACATCCGTTAACTGTTTTGGACAAGGGAGACGGAGCCGCCACCAATCCGTCAAGAGGAGTCACGAAGCCCTGAAAAACAAAGTAAAAAAGGGATCCAACCCCAACAAGCAACAACCAAAATTCACCCAAACCCGCACATCTTTTCCTTAAAGCACAATGTCTCAACAATTAGGGATGGAAAGCTGCAACTTCACGGCACCAAGAACTGGAAAGAAAGGGCAGAGAAGATTGGGAGTATAGTGGAAAGGAAGAGGGGAGAGAGGCCGGCCCCAGCCAAAGCAAGGGACCGGCGGCTAAGGCTTTTGCAGATTTAGGGTTTTTTTCTGAAAGAGAGCAGTACGTGAATCAGTAAAAAAGAAGGTATTCATTGGTCAACGCCAAAAACAAAGTAGGGTAAGTAATAAGATTAGACAATTGCTCCCAAGGACAAGAAAACTTAGAACCCAGAGACAAGAAAACTTAGAAAAGGACTTAATAATTATTAATTGTAACTTTCAAATTAGATCACGACTCAATTAATTCGGCACCACTCGCACCTTATATTAGTAATGTATATAAAAACGCTAACGCTAGGAAAATATTACACTCTTTTTTTTCTTCTTCTTTTACACTTCTCTGTTTAAACATTATTCAATTACTTAACTGTTTATTAGCGAGCGGGTCTCTTTGTATGTGTTGTCTGGAAAAAAGATCACACGTATACTACCAGGAAATAGACTAAAAAATTGAGGTAAGTCCTTATGATTCAACCAAAGGGTTTTAGGTTATCCGGAAGGAATGGAATGACTAATGTGATTTGAAACCCAATTCCAATATGATCCCCATGCTTCATTAGCCCATACTGCTCCTGATCCCAATACACCCAATGCCAGATAGCTGCCAAAAAGCACAAGCCCGAAAACACATTCTCCTATCTTAAATAAGGCCTGAACGGCGGCATAAAAGCCTTGGAACGGCAGCCACGCCTGATTCGTAAATCAATGGACAGTCTTGGTCCTTTTGAAAATACCAGTGTAAGTGACACCAAGAAATAAAGTGGGGTGATCCAGATTTTTCGCGGTTGTACAAGAATTTGACTCATAGGGCTTCCCTCAGCTCAGTCTTTTTGGTTCCGGACAAGGCTAGAGCCAAGCAGAGGGATGGAGTAGGGGACGGTTGGTGAAAGTAGGCACGAGTGAAAATTAAGGAACCCGCGAATATTGGCAAAACTACAACTAGCGTTAACCAAGGAAAATTATTCATGGTAAAAACAAGATAAACCCGCTCTTTGTATGTGTTGTCTGGAAAAAAGATCACTCAATGATTATCCCTTGCCCGCACGCTAGAATTTTGGTAGATAGAGATCCTGTAAAAATTTCGTTCAAGAACGGGGCTACAAAGCGCCCAAACCCAAAACTCATGGAAATGGAGTTTTTGGTACCGATCAAGCAGACGTTTTTCGTTGATTTATTCAATTCGATTGTCAAATAAATAAAAATGTATAAAAGTTAAAAAAATAATGTGTGGGAATAAACTCCCGAAAAACTATTCAAGGTCAATTCATATACACGCAAGTTGGTGAAGCAATTTGACAGAAGCATTGAATAATGTGGACTCGCATGGAAAGATGCATGAACCAAAGCAAATAAAATCCAAGTGGGGTCCTTAAGCTACGATTCTATGATTCTACGACAGTTGAAAAACATATTTTATGTTGCCTTAACAGCCATTATTTTTTGTTCTCAGTTTTTTGTTAATCATATACAAGGATGTCGCCTGAGAGTTCTTCCTATCACCACCGTATCTGTCCATACATTCTTACAAGTATATAATGCCATCAAAGTATATGTGATCAGAACCATTAATAAATCACTATATATCGATCGTCTCTGCAAAAATTCAGTTAAAACTAAAGTCATTTGTTCATCGAACTATATAAACATAGAAGAACGAAACTGATAAAAGCATTACAACCGTCTATGTATTTGCTACAATAGATTGACTAAACAAAGATGATCTTTACAAAATGATTTATAATGTAAACAGCTCTATCATAAGCACAGAACTCTGCGACTCAAACAAGAATAATTTTGAGTAGAAATTCCTACTCATTCATGAGTAGCCAAGCATTTTTCGATAAATAATTCACAATATGACTGAGAAGCCGGAGATAAAAAAAGGGCGATGAAACACATCATAATCTATGAATAAAGGATTGCTCAAAGATTGAAATCAACATTAACTTAATAAACAATGCAGTTGATTCTATCGCAGGTAGTGATGATCTGATCAAGTTCATGGTGAAAAGCTTCAAGATATCAAAACACGACATAAGACATTACAGAAACTATTAAACTATTTAGTGCATCATTTCTGTAGTGCTTTTTATTTGGACTTTTCCTTGTAAACAGAACAAAAGCAGGCTGCCATTTCATCGAGGAAAGCTCCAATGACAAAGCAAACCATCACACAAACAAGAAAAGGGACCAAACAAAGTAAAAAAGACGACAAGGTAATGTCAACTTGCCTCCCGTTCATCCCCCCCCCCCCCCCCCCCCCACCCCCACCACCACCCTCTTTTGGCTTTAATGCTCTACCAACACAGTGTGCGATCAATGAAACCAACTTCTACCTTGCCCTATCGATGATTGCAAATACCAATACTTAACTCATGCTTCCAAAGTTGATATAACTAAGCAATTCATTGGCTTACTTTATTTATTGCTCGGTACCCTACAACTCCACTCGATTAAGCTCTTACTTATACAAGATCCTGTGCTGCTATTTAATATGTCCATCGTTCTAAAACACAGCGATAATAGTACAACGGAAGAGTAAGCATTTTCAATATCGAAAGCCATATATAAAATCAGATAGAAGAACAGTTCACTCCAATACGACACACACTTTCAAATCAATATGATAGTAGATACTTAAATCAATCCATTAGAAAAAGTCACCTCATATAGTGCATATGATACCGAAGACACTGATACCACAAAACTGCTCTAGCCAAGACTCGCACGTTAAACATCAAAGAAAGAGGTTCCAGCAAACTACTATCATAGAGAATATAACGGAAGAACTAAAATCTATACAAATGCCTCTCCAAGACTGGACTAAATTTTCCACAAGCAAAGTAAGCTTCTTCTATCTCCACCTCCGGATAGGGTCTAAATTCATCAGCTTTTTACCCCAAAAAAGTCACTTTGAAATGCTTACACTCGATACTTTCCAAGAAACTCTGCATAAATTATCATCAGAATCCTCCGACATTATACAACTAAGTATGCTTTGTATAAATCTATACTCTAAAATACACGCACAGTAACTACGTATAACTCCACCTTTGGATAATGATCTAAAGTCTCAACATCAATGTTTTACTCTGAAAAGTCACATTTTGAGATGCCTATGATCAATGTTTTCCAAGAGAATCTGCATAAATTATAGTCACATCCTCTGACTTTATACTCAGCATGCTTCCGCCTATGTTTTACAAAGAACTTCATGCTGTAATCCTAAAAGTTGGCATTAGCTCACACTCACACAACCATCAACATAGATGTATTTCACAGGAAAACGAATTCTTAACAGAAGCCATCTATTTTTATCAACAAAGGCAATATACCAGTGAAACAAAACTACTCTCAGCAATATTTCCTGTTCAACTTTATTTATTGAAACAAGTTCCAGCGAACTGCTATCACAGACTTAAATAAATCAGGCGTCACCGAGACTGGAAAGCACTTTTTCGTAAGTGCGGGAGCTTCTTCTATCTCCAACTCTGAATAATGGTCCAAATAGTCTTTTCATCCTAAAACTATCACATTTTGAAATGCTTACACTCGACGCTTTCCAAGCAAATCTGCATAAATTATCCTCACAATCCTCGGGCATTATACAACTCAGTATGCTTCTAATATAAATCCAAACAAAAGCATCGCCAACTTCTTATAACTCCAACACCGGCTAAAGGTCTAAACATCGATATTTTACTCTTAAAATTCACATTTCGCAATGCCTACAATGAATCAATGTTTTCCGAGAAAATCTGCATAATCTATTGTCCGAATCCTCTTAATATTGTACAAGTCAGTATGTTTCCACCTATTTCAAATAAAGAACTCCATTTTGTATTCCTAGAAGTTAGCATTAACTCATTCTTACATAATCACCAATTGTCCGAATCCTCTTATATTGTACAAATCAGTATGTTTCCACCTATTTCGAACAAAGAACTCCATTTCATATTCCTAGAAGTTAGCATTAACTCATTCTTACATAATCACCAATTTCGAAAACAGAGATCTTATTCAAAGGAAGATTGAAATGGTAACAGAATAAGACCATCTATTCATAACAGTTGAATTATTAACAGAATAAGACCATCTATTCATAACAGCAATGGCAATACACACACACACACACACAATATATACAAATTCGATCCCTCAAACGAAAACCCAACCAAACGCACAAATTAGAACCGAATTCTTCCCCCATTTCATACATTAAGCATTGAGAACGAGACGGTACCGAATCAGCAGACCGAAGTCAATCTCATGGGCACCTTCTCTCGGTCAGTATCCCCCAACCCATCCGCCACAATTTGAATCACCCTCTTGAACGCGAAGTGCACGCAATTCGAAAGCGCAATCCAACACATCACCTCGTAGACGAAATCGAAAGCCGGATCGGACGGCGAGGACGACGAAGACTCATCCCAACTATTCCCTCCAAACCTATCGAAATTCCAACCCCCGCCCCCGCCTCCACTGCCGCCCCACCCTCCATTGAAAAACGGACCATCTCCGCCGAAAAACCCGCCATCTTCCTCGCCTCCATCGTTAGAATCGTCGCCGCCCGACGATCTCCGTCTGGCGCGACGTTTTTTGCGAAGGAGGGTTCGGGTTGCGGTTCTGGTAGAGTTGGGCCGGGCACGCGGCGGAGCAACAGCGTCGAAGGGGAAAACACCGGCGGAGATCTGGGGGACTCCAATGGACGGCGAGGATTGATCGGTATGATTGTCGGTGACGGAAATTTGATTGTTGGAGGTGAGGTCATGGTGACGGGTTAGGAACTTGGCGAACCCTAGGCCCTGGGCGGTGGTGGCGACTGTAACGGTGTCGTATAGGAGAGAGATGTCCATGGCCGACGAATTCGATTTGTGGGTAAAGTGAATCGTCGGAACCCGTTGGGAATTTTGGAGTCTAAAGCTAAAAAGGGGTGAATTTTGGTTGGGAAATTTTCCGGGAAAGTGCGGGAAAATAAGGAGGGCAGGCGGGAAACGACAGCAAAATGCCGAAGAGTGGAGGGAATTGGTGACAGCTGTTAAAAGGCCACGTGGTACCCGTTGGCGGGTGGCTACCGTACAATTTTGACATGTCGGAGTCGAATTGCCTTTGCCTCCAACCTGGTTCGGGCCTTTGATGACCCGACGAAAGTCCGAATAATTTGGACTGGTTCCGGGGTTGATGGTAGCCCTGTATCTTCGGGGAGTTCATGATTCGGGATATTGTACGGATTCCCTCCTCTTTGTTTTTTCGTTCTTTTTTTGTTTGTTTGTATAATCTGTCTTTTAAATTTCTAGTTTCATTACCATAAAGAATAACTAAAAGAATACTAGTTTTCATGATATCAACTGATTCTTGATCTAGTGTTGGAGCCATAAGTTTAGCATAGGTCCCAATGTCTCAATCTAAAACTTACAAAAATTATTCTATCGTGTGGTGAGTGTGGTATAATGTCGTCATTTTCATTTTTGTTCTTTCTTAAAACTTAAACCACAAGTCTCTCTGACTTTCTTCCTCTGTTCCTCCACTGATCCCTCATACCAAAGTCCTCATCAAAGCTCACAAACAACGGATTGCCTGAACTCTATAGGAGCCACTCACCTCTAATCAAACTCTTGAAAGGAATTAAAGTATAAAAGTCGGATTGGAGTCTTTAGCCTACGAAAAATTTTGAAAATCATAAATATAACACTAAATGTTTCTACATGAGAAAAAATGTCAAGATGAGTTTGGAACCATTATGATCCCTTGATAACTCCGTTTTCTATTAATCAGTGGCGTTTGTCCTTTTAGGGTGCGTTTGTTGCACCGTACTATCTCGGACTGGACTAGCTTTAAGGACTAAGCTGGACTGCCTTAGACTAGATTAAGTTGGACTAACTTAGTGAAGCGTTTGGTGCAATGTCAAACTAGGAGCAAAATAATGACAAAAAAAAAAAAACCATGATCTGTAACAAAATATTCTCATCTAATGAAAGTTTCTGCATAATTAACCAAATTCTTCAATTTGCGATCCCAGAAAAAGCAAAACTACTGAAATCATTCAATTTGCTCAAACACTCCAAATTGCTCAAAAGCTCTAATATCCCAGAAAAATCAAATCCTTCAATTTGGTATTTCACAGACAACTCACAAATCCAACCCAATTCACATAATCATTTTCCTAATATACGAGAGTTCATCTCCTTCATAAGTCCTCTATTTATTTTCTGCTCAAGTAGTTACTTGAAGATTTGTAGCCGAATAGCTCTTCAATAACAACAACAAATTCCTTCTCGACCTTCCATCAAATACTTTGAAATCCTCTGTAGTTGTAATCCTTCGAGACAAAACGTAGAGTGCCCAACCCAGAACCGTTTAACCTGTTCAAAATTCAAAAACCCAATTAGGGATTCCACTCGGAAGGAAAACTGAATCCCAGAAAAAACGAATTGAAAACCTAGAAAAATCCAATCCCAGAAAAATCGATTAAAAAACCCATAAAAATCAATTCGAAAACCCAGAAAAGGGAGAATACTTGCAAATCAAGTCTTGCAGACTTGGACTTTTCAGATTCATTTGAATCGTTTCTGTCAAACCCAGGTGCAGACTTGGGGATTCTTGTAGACTTGGAAATTCTTGCAGACTTAGAGATCTTCTGGACAGAAGAAAGGGAGGAGGGAGAGAGACAGTGGGAGGGCAAGTTCTTAGGCTTGGGGCGAGGCGAAGCGGGGAAACGGGACTAGCAATCCCCTCCTTTCCGGGGCTCTCGCTAAGCCCAACTAACAAAGGATTTAGTCGGCACGAGTCCGGCTCAATCCCATTAAACTCAATCCCGGCTGGCTTACACCAAACACACAGAATAATAATCCTACCCAAATAGTCCAGTCCAGTGAAAGCTAACGAGGCCAAACAAACACCCCCTTAATGTTGCAAAAAGCCTCTTAATTTTTAATTTACAACTCTCTTATGAACAATTTTAAAGTGGGCTAATGGGCTCGAAGAACTGGAGCCAATATCCTGGGCTTTTGGGACAGCGTGCTGGGTCTAAGGTAGCCCACATTTCCAAACTCGTAAAAACCCTAACCTTAAATATGCTCATCCCCGACCTTAGTAACAACCTCCAAGCTTCCTCCTACCTGTAAAACCCTAGAGGTAGCAACAATGGTGTCGCTGAAGCTCCAGAAGCGGCTTTCTGCCAGTGTCCTCAAGTGCGGCCAAGGAAAGGTCTGGCTCGATCCTAATGAGGTCAGCGAGATCTCCATGGCCAACTCCAGTACGTACCCCCTTTTTTTTTTCTTAGGGTTTCATCCAATTCGTTTCAATTGGATTTTTTTGGTTATTTATTGGGTTTCGATCTGAACAGTTTGGAATACTAGAAATCTTATTTTTGTGAATTTGGATCATTGTAGCGAGTTGATTCCGATTGGGTTTAATACGTTATTGCATCTACATGGATAGTATGCATGTTATAGTCACGGTGTTTAGTTGATTAATTTACCCAGTTGTTTAGAGTAACCAATTGATTAGGTTTATCAAAAGAAATGATTGAAGTATGCTTTCATTTGATTTGTCGTAACAGTTTGCGATGCGGTCCGCCTGGTCACAGTTTGGATTCTGACTATTGTCAAGTCAGATTTAGGTTAAACCGTTGAGCACTTGGGCTGGTATATTTGTTATGGCAGGATAAATGCTCGGAACTATTTTGCTTATTAATGTCCCGAAAGCACTGCATTTTGTAGTTTTGAAAGGTTGAATGACGGGAAAGTAAGTTCAAGAGATGCTTGATAAGTTAAAGTCCCGGCTGCAATTGTTCTGCATTTTCACAATTCCCCTTTTTTCACCGTAGTTTACGCAACTGAAGTAGGCTTTCTAGTTTTTCCACGTCAGACCAAGTCTCTTTTGCCTGTAGGTTTAATTTAGACTGATGTGATTGATGGTGACAATAACTGTTTTGCAGGGCAAAACATCAGGAAATTGGTTAAGGATGGGTTCATCATCAGGAAACCAACAAAGATCCATTCCCGTTCTCGTGCTCGGAGAATGAAAGAGGCTAAGAGGAAGGGTCGTCACTCTGGTTATGGTACGTGGGTTTGAAACACTGGCGCAGTTCATTTTGTTTTTCAATTGTTTCAGCATATTGTTGTCATGTTACTGTCATATTTGATTCTGCAAACCATCTTAGTTTAGATTTCTTTTTCCCATATTCCTACTCGAAGGACATTGTAAAGATGATGTATTTATTAATGTTTCCAGGTAAGCGCAAGGGTACCAGGGAGGCAAGGCTGCCCACCAAAATCCTCTGGATGAGGAGAATGCGAGTATTGAGGCGCTTGCTCCGTAAGTACCGAGAGTCCAAGAAAATTGACAAGCACATGTACCATGACATGTACATGAGGGTGAAAGGTAACGTCTTCAAGAACAAGCGTGTGCTGATGGAGAGTATCCACAAGTCAAAGGCCGAGAAGGCAAGAGAAAAGACTCTGGCTGACCAGTTTGAGGCCAAGCGTGCGAAGAACAAGGCTAGCAGAGAGAGGAAGCATGCTCGCCGTGAAGAACGATTGGCACAGGTTGGTTGAGACATTAAGAAAATCATTTGAAGTGCCTTTTTTTTTTACCAACAGTAATCTATAGATGGTTAGGAAATTGTCGTGCTGAATGCATGTTGATAGTTTGTAACTCAAATTTTCAGACTTTAATTTTCTTTTTCGTGTCCTGATGTTGCAGGGACCTGTAGAGAAGGCAGCACCAGCAGTTGCACCCCAACAGTCTGAGTAAGTTTACTTGAAATCGTGTGTACATTTGTAGGGCACAAGGATCATGAAATGAGACATTTCTGTTCGTTTCTGCAGGGGAGGTGCGAAGAAAGCAAAGAAGTGAGTATTGACAGAAGAAAGCAAAGAAGTGAGAAGCGGCAGGCCTTTGCCCCGAGCACTGAAGAACCAGAACTCTAGACATTATTGCTCCTAAGTGTTATTTCCATATACAAGTTCTATTTTGTGAGCTACTTTAATGTATTGTTGTTGCAAATTTTCCGATCTAAGCCGTATAACTTTTTGAGATCCAGTAGTACATTTTCTTGAATGTTGAATGCTGTGTTGGTAACGTTGTTGAATATATCAGTCTGTATGTTAATGCTAAATGTGAGAATGCAGTTTGATTGAGAATGATCCTTCTTTCGGGCGAAGAATAAATGGGTATATCGCATCCATGCTTATCACTTGCGCATTGGCATGTGCTTTTCTGCAAGACAATGCATCTTTGTTTCTTGTTGTCGTTCCTTCTAGTTACTTTAAACGATCTAGTTACAGGGTCATATCTCGTGAATTGATGAAAGGGGGTGGAGGCGTCGAAGGGGCGATGCCGGAGCTGTGGTTTCGACGGTGTTTAAACTTTTGAATGTGTTTAGGGGTGAAAATTGATGTTTCTGTGCTTCTGAGTACACAACAGGTCCCTTTTTGGTTCCTTGCTAAATAAATTCGCCTTCAATTTCTCAACTATTGCCACTTCTGACCTTTACCATATCTTAAAAACGTTTGAACATTGATGAGACTGCATAATCCAAATTTCAACCAGTCTTTTGAAATTCCTTTCCTTTTAGACTGCATTCACCATATCTGATAATGTTAAAAAGGCATTCATTATTATTTTTTTCTAGGGAGGAAATTAGACTTAAGACTCACTATGAACATAAGTTAAGCTTGTTTGGAATTGTTTTATTTTTTATTTTTTTAACACTTGAGAAAATTGTAGCAATTGTCCCTCAATTTTAACCCAATCGGAACAATGGTCTCTCAACTAAAAATTTATGACCATTGGTCCTTTAACTCATCAAAACATACAACTATAATCATTTTTGTCAACTTTGTCAGAATTTCGACAAAATGAGTTATGTTGAAAGGACTTTGGTGGCAGGAACTTTGGTGGTGGAAGGAGTTGAGACCGTTGTCGATCTGTAGGCATTTGGGTGTCGGGAAGTCATCGAAGGAATTTGAAGTTCTGGGTTTTGATGGAGAGGTTGAGAGTTGAAGGTTGAAGGGAATGGCTGCTTTGATTTCCAAGACGCAGCAAGTTCAAAGCTTGCTGTGATTTTGGGTTGAAGGTTGCAGAGATTGCTAGGTGGTGGTGGTGGGAGGGGACCCAGGTGGATGGGGAAGAAAAGTGTGAGGGAATGGGTGGGTCCCCATGCAAAAAAAAAAGATTTTATACTTTTAGTTATTAATATTTAATTAATTTTTTAGTAAAGAGTGGGCCCCGTCTCAAGCCATGTCACTATTTAACGGAAGAATTAACAGACAAACTAACAGGATATATGAAATTGTAACAAATTCGTAAGATGAGGTATGACATTGACATTTTTTAAAGATGATGTATGAAACCGTGAATGACCCAATAGTTAAGGTAATTTTATGTAATTTACCCAAATTTAAAAAAAATAATAATAATTTCAAGTGCTCACTGAAAAATGATTTGAAGTGCTTCTTTCAGAAAGGATTTAAGTGTTTAAGAACTCATAACACTTATGTGAGGATGTGAAGATAAAAGAGTCATATGCTGGTAAAAGGAGAAACCTTGCAATGACTTATAAGAGGTTGGACTACTTCCTATATTGCCAACTGATTTTATGGTAAGACCTCGACTTTCTTCCAATTATTTTTTTTCAAACATGGTGTTTGTACCATACTTGACCAATCCTGAAATTACTGAGCACCGGTCAACGTTATACCGTCAAGGACCCATAAGAGTTTCCCTACAACCAGGAGGCCAATCACAACGCGACACGTGTCGACATCAGAAACCAATCATAGCGCGACACGTGTCAACATCAGAAGCCAATCACAACACGACATGTGTCAATGTCAGAATGAAACTAGAAACTCTCTTCTATATATAGAGATCATTATCTCACAATATTTTCAAATTTTATTTGTACTAAATTATTCACTAGTACTCACTAAAGGAGAGCTTGAACCTATGTACTTGTGTAAACCCTTCACAATTAATGAGAACTCCTCTACTCCGTAGACGTAGCCAATCTGGGTGAACCACGTACATCTTGTGTTTGCTTCCCTGTCCCTATCCATTTACTTACTTATCCACTCTAGTGACCGGAGCAATCTAACGAAGGTCACAATGAAGAATGAGGTCCTTCAGGAGTAGTATGAGAAGCTCTTTAAGACACTCCATGAAACTAGGTGTACTCAAACACGCGAGCTCGTTGCCCCTATGGACATCAACCATCATCTGGGTACCCCCCAACACGGAGGGTCACCTCTCTTTGACATGGGTATCCCTGATGAGGAGCGAGCTAATCATCAAAACATTGATCAACCTGAAACTTTTCTCAACCCAGATGCTTCGACCCAAAGCAGGAGAAGTGGAGGAAGACACCTCCTTGCAGAAGGGTTGGAAGGATCGAAAGCCATTTATTGTGATTGACGAGACTTCCTAAAGCAACGTCGAGAGAATCCCCTCCACATATGCTCGAAGATCAATGACCCAAGGGTTTTTGAAAGACTCGGTCCCCTTCCATGACCCCAAGCCCGCTGCCAATCTAGGGAAGGAACAACAGGTCCTAGAGGAACATGAAGGTACAAGGGACTCTAAGGTATTCCGACAGACTTGCCCTAGAAGTTAGTACGGCGAGTCCAAGAAAAAACCATACGCCTTTGCTCAAACTTTCTTACTTCCAAGAAGCGATGGAGACTTACGAAAGAAAATTCCAGTGGTACATGGCTCCACTCAGGACTCCATTGTCCTACAGCTCATTGAAGAAGTAAACAAGTTGAAGGCCGAACGTCAGGCCGAGATACCTGATTGGAACCAACCCAGGCCTGGCCCTTTCATAAGGAGGATCCTCGACACCCCTTTCAAGCGAAGACAAAACAAAAGCTTGGTTTACAACTACATATTGGAATGGAGGACCCAATTGAACACCTTAACCTATTTGAGTCCACCATGGCATATCAGATGCACACCAACGAAGAGTAATGTATTCTCTTCCCCTCCACCCTCTCTGGCGGAGCTCTAAACTGGTATTGCCATCTTCCACCTAAGACAGGAAACTCATTTAAGGAATTGAGGAAACTATTTGTTTCTGAACATATCTTTCAGACCGATCGCTTGCATTCTACATATGACTAGTACACTATTCGCCAGAAGCCGGACGAGTCACTACGAGAGTATGCCGATCGCTTCAGCCATGAGTATTCTCGCTGCGCTGAGGCAGATGACAAGACTGCCCTCAAGGCCTTCACGGCAGGCCTACGTAATTGTTTCTTCAAGTACATGATCAATGCCAACACTTGGAAGACTTACTCTAAGGTGATGACACATGCTTACAACCACGCCTTCGTCGAAGAAATGACATACCAAGGGAACCCCCATATGGTTAACCCCTATCAACAAATGGGAAGTGGAAGTCAAGTTCTACCAAGTGAGGAGATCTTGGCCATTCAGACACCCATTGCATCATCTCCTTCCTCATTTAGCTACTCGCTCAGTCACCAAACGTATCTGTCTCTTGGTAAGAAGAAGGATTTTTACTCTCAGCAAGCCCATTACAACAAGAAAGATAAAAGTTCGTATCAAGACAACCAGGGGTGAACGTACCGCCGACTATTATAACTATGGGACCAAGCCTCACTCTTTCAAAGTGGAGGACTAGGTACTGAAGGAAATGCTATTATAAGAAGGCATACACATTACAAATGTTTTGACTCTCAACCACTTGAGATCATTTGTCACACAAGTCATTCAGCAAATATTTAAAGAAGAGGGAATTCAAACAACTTCTTCTAAGTCTTTTGCGTTCCTAGCACTGGAACACTTGGTCTACCCTGACCTACCCTTATACTCCAACTCAGAGCTTCAACATGCATACTTTGACACAAAGTATGTGATACTAAGTGTTACAACCAACATGGTTCACATATCAAAAGCATGGATCCCTTCATGCATAGCAAAACATTCATAAGCATCACTCATATCAACCAACATAAACATCATACATTCAAACACATTCATACATAAACATTATACATTCCAACACATTTATACATAAACATCATACATTCCAACACATCCATACATAAGCCAATTGTGCTTCGAAAGGGTTCAACATACTTTGTGTCTTTAAGACTTGCTACAATGTGCTTCGACACCTTGCCCTTATTCTCACCAACCAGGTGATGAAATGTGAGGAAGAAACTCATCTTCATGCCACCAACAAGATGATGAAATGTACAACCCGTACTCTTCTTCATGCCACCAACCAAGTGATGAAATGTACAACCCGTACTCTAATATCATTTGGCAACTTGCCACTCATGCCACCAACCAGGTGAAGAAAGAACTCATCTTCATGCCACCAACCAGGTGATGAAATGTACAACCCATACTCTCCTTCATGCCACCAAACAGGTGATGAAATGTACAACCCGTACTCTAATATCATTTGGCAACTTGCCACTCATGCCACCAACCAGGTGAAGAAGAAACTCATCTTCGTGCCACCAACCAGGTGATGAAATGTACAACCCATACTCTAATATCATTTGACAACTTGCCACTCATGCCACCAACCAAGTGATGAAATGTACAATCCGTACTCTCCTTCATGCCACCAACCAGGTGATGAAATGTACAACCCGTACTCTAATATCATTTGGCAACTTGCCACTCATGCCACCAACCAGGTGATGAAATGTACAACCCGTACTCTAATATCATTTTGCAACTTGCCACTCATGCCACCAACTAGGTGAAGAAGGAACTCATCTTTGTACCACCAACCAAGTGATGAAAGTAACTCACCATTCATTCCACCTACCAGAAAACGAGTGGTACAACTTGTACATGTGAACTCGTAGCATTCACAAATAATAAAAAACCCTCAAGCTTGACAACTCAACTAGGGGAGCACTTATGCCCAACAAGAGTTATAGTCACTAATAAAGTCTTATTGCAAGCCAACAATAATTTCAGTGCATGGCATACAAAGATCAAGCTATTCAGCCATCTTGCATCTACTTCAAACATTTCCCCTCTGTAACAATGCAAACACTACAACTCGTAGAAAGCTTCACACACTCTTCATCAAGACAGTGTGAAGTAAAACCAATTTATGGTGCCAACAAGAGCTTCATCAATGGAGGGCAACCACAAT